GGACCAAGCTGCCAACAGGGACGCTGAGGTACATTCACAGAAGATGATGTGCATAAAGATACTGTTGCAGTAAAGTGTTCTCTGCTATCTTGTCTCCTTCCTTTCCTAATATACGACTGGGGGATATAGACAGTGTCGACGTAGGCACGCTCACAAAGTTATAGCGAAAAAAGCGGCCATTTGCTAAAGTCTTTGTCAGTAGATGTTACGTTTTTTAAATGAAACCCTAACCCTAACATTAGCCCTAATGCAAACAATCCACGAAACTTCTTGCAAGGTCGGCTGTATTAATAGGGCTCAAATTGCCCTCCGCATCAGTTTGAAGAGCTCCCCTTTGGCAATAATTTACAAACACGGTAAAGTATATGTACTAATGGCAGTCACTTTTAAAGCAAGTATTCCAATGCCCATTTTGGTTGTCACTGGCGTTTGCTTAACCTGAATAGCCTCATTTTTCGATGGAGGAGGAAGAGAACAACCAACTGGCATTCCTTGATGTCCTCGTCTCTCGCAAAGATTGTGGTGTTCTAAAGACTAAAGTACTCCGGAAAGCGACAAACACGATACAAGTACTGAATTACAACAACAGTCACCGAATCAGCCACAAACGCAGTTGCATAAGGACGTTCTATCGGCGTGTTGAGACACACTGCAGCGAACAAGAAGATACATTTGCCAAGTTAGAATACCTTCGACGGGGTGTTCAGAGAAAATGACTACCCGTGCAAATTTGTCAACTAGTGCTTGCGTAAAAGAGATGGCCAACAAAGTCGCACCGACCCTAACATTTGGCGAGAGATCCCTTACGTCAAAAACATCTCGCAGGCTGCCTGCCGCCTTCTCGCACCACTTAGAGTTGGGGTCGCAGACAGGCCGAAGGCAACCATAAGGCATTAGATAAGGAAACCTAAAGACCCACTGTCACGGCTGGAAACATCTGGGGTCGTCTACAGGATCTGGCGCAGATGTGAGCAAAGCAATTATGTCGGAGAAACTGGCTGACTTCTCAAAGGGACGAATTGCCGAACACGCGGCAGCAGTGCGGCGAAATGATGCCAATTCTCAA